ATGTATAAGTAGCGGTGGGCTGCCTCATTTTGCCAGTTGCTCCACATCCTGTTACTTATAATCCATCCCTGGGTCTGTCTGCTGGCAAAACTTCTGCCAGAAGAATGATAGCTTTCATTTTTAAAATAGGAACTTTCCTTTTTATATGGAAGAGCCTTTTTTTTCATCTCCAAGCTGTGTGCAGAAAGAGACTGATGAGAAGACTGCATGTGCAAACCATGTTGATGAGGGGTTTCAAAAACGTTATTAAAATATGTACACTGACTTCTAAGTTCAGATGATTTCCCTCTAGCTGACAGAGCTAATCCTGCTGCACATGACTATTCTGAATACATCTTTCCCAGAAATAGCTTATTCCTAGAGAAATTAGATAGTGATACTTTTGACTTAAAAATCGATATACCAGAGTTCTTTATCTTCTCTTATTTATTAGCAATATACTATATTTTTCAGTGGAAATAATTTCTGGAATGTCTATTATGAAATTAATATTTAAAGTTCTTTTCTGCTATCTTCTTTCATGTTATGTACAGACTACAATTTTTTCTTTTCCAGCTTTTCACTCTCAGTCCCTTAAAAAGAGACTTAACTTAGTGTTCATCAATTTTACTGTATGATAAGGAAGGAGGTTTTCTGAAATTATTTCTTAACATATTTGCCATTCTTTCCTGCTGCATAGTGGAGTCAGCTTTGTAATAAAAGAGAACTGAGTGAAGCACAAAGATAATCTGAAAGAATTGTGGATTTTTTTTTTCATTAGAAGTTACCTGCTGGTTTTTGTTGTAAAATTTACACTCCCCCAGCCTCATATCTTGCCGTATTTGAGGTGGCACTTGCCAGTTATATGTTGACAGAGGCAGCAAGCTGTTTAAAGGTGGCAAGCTGCTTAAGTTGTCCTAGACTATAAGTGCTTCATTAATTAAAAAAACCCAAATTGGAATGTACAAGGCAGACAAGCAGCAAGCTTGTTTGCAGTGTTAGAATCCCAGCTTGAATCCAAGACACTAAAACTTTGCTTCAGTCCAGACAGGTTCGACTCCTAGTGCTGGGCTTGTTTTGTATGTAAACTACACATTCTAGAGCATGTGCAATTAGCAGCTCTCTTCATTTCTCCAGTGAATTATGACTTTCTGACAGGTTCATAAATAATGAATAGCTTATAAAGTTTTACTTCAAGGATAATTTTTCTGTCTAATCTCTCCCTGTGAATTAAACCTTAAGGAAGATGCTGAAAATATTAACTTTTTCATTAGATAGGGATACATAATTTAGTAGCTCCTTTAGCTTCAATCCAGTGTGATTCTATACTCTGGCTACAGCCATATACAGGATTTACACACTGAAACTTGCTATTAATATCAATGTAATTGTAACCAAGTTGTTCTGTAAAAATTTTAGTGGTCATGGTCATCTATGTCTTAGGAAAAAGAGGAGTTAATGTATTTGAAGTTACGCTTCAGGGTGGTGCATTTTGAATATGATGTTTGTATGAGTATTAAGAGCAAGGTGTAATACACACCACCAAACACTCCCCTTGTTTTTAACATGGCAGCTTTTTGAATCCTGTTCTGCAGTCACTTGAGTTACTTCTGCTGAACAGCTTAGCACTACAAGCAGCTTGGAGCTTCACTTTTTTTTCAGTGCAGAAAAGGTGGAAAGTAGATACTGTTTAAGTAAAAAATAATATTCTGACTTCACTTGATACTGCCTTCATTAGGGTCATTGTAGCTTCTACAGTCAATACTTTGCTTTTGGCTTCAATGAGCAAATCATGAAACTATTAGGAGATTTTTCAATAACCTTTTTTTTCTGCTTGCTTTCAGCTTTTTGTGGCATTATTACACCTTTTGGTTTTGGAAATAAGCATCCATAAGTTCTCGCTTTTGTGTGGAAGGAAGCATTACTTCTTAACACTACTTGTTTGTGAGAAATTAACTGTTAAAATCATGCCAAAATGCAAATGAGGAGCTGGAGCAGAATGGCAGGAAGTTAAATCATAGCAGTCCATATTCTTGCAACCTGATGGAGTTGGAAATAATTCTGTAGTCCAGTGGAAGGTGGGAATGTAGCAGTAACTTGTTCTACCCCTGGCTGCTTGTTGAATTACTGGGTCAGAAGCTACAGAATTCTCTTTTTGGCTTTCTAAATTAATCCAATATATTAACTGAAATAGATAAAAACTAATGTAGAGGAAGGATTTAACTGACAGCTTGTACAGTTTTTTAAAGCAAATAACAGCATATGGAAATTAAAGAGAGAGCATATTTGAAGCATGGGAACAAGCTCTTAGCAAACACATTTTGGGGGAATACCAGGTATGAGGAAATTCAAGGCAGGTATATTTACTTCCTAAGGCTAACAGGGGCATGGCTTTATTATGAAAGCAGCTGCTTTTCTCCCTCATGAAGTGGAGGGTTATGGTGCTTTGTTCCTGTAGAGCACCTGAATTTTTCAAGCTGTGCCAGGCTCAGGGAATGATTCTAGCGTGTTTAAGATGTCATTGAGAACTGAAGGCAGGAGGCAAAGGCTTTGTCTTCCAACAGCCCAAACGCAGCAGCTCTTGGCCTCCAAGAGGTTCCAGAGCCCACTGAGAAAGCAGGTGGGCATTGGCTGGGCTCCACTTGAGCAAAAGCTGCAGCCACTGAAATATCAGGGCTGTCATGCTGCACCAGTGCTGCCACTCAGCACTGCTGCCTGCGAGAGCTGGAGGAGAGCAAACAATCCATGCAGGATGATGGGACTCAGGATGAGACTTCTAGAAGTTTTGCTGAACACTATGGACAGAGACAAAGAATTACATTAAGTTTTTATTTAAATAGCCCTTGATATTTATAGCCAAGGGAGAGCAAAAGAATAGCTCTAACCAAGCTTAATGTAAGAAATTCCAACTGCCACAAAGTATGATGGGCTCTTTTCTGCCCTGAGGTAACAGCCACAATATAGATTCGTTGTGGATGACAGACATTCCACATTAAGAACAGAAGATGTTTCTAAGAAATATTAAATAAAATATGATTTCTCATGATACATTAAGCTACATGGTACTTTGCATATGGTTTAGCAGAACTCCCCCAGTTCTGTACATGAAGCTATTTGTATGGAGAAAAAAAAATTACTACCACTGTAGGTAGGGCTTCCGTGCAGAATTTAAGCTGCAATTTGTAAAATAGGGATGGTTATTTTGAATTTTATTCCCAGCAGCTTCCTTCTGGAACTGAATCTCTACACCTATCTACAGGAATATACTTTTTTGTTTCTGATTAGGTACAATAATGGGACTACGGAACGACTTCTATTGAAGCAGAGCTAAAAGGGAGTTTATGATGCTAAGTAATGATAGGTTGTTTCTGTAGCCATGGCAAGGGATGCGTTTAGAATACTAACAGCTCATTGACTAATGGCTTTGTGCAATTTATGGATTATGAAAAATACAAAAAACTTCCTGTAGAAGGACTTTTTACCCGGACACTAGTGTGATTATAAAAAAATATGCAGGTCTGTTCAGTGGAAAACCTGTACAGTCAATTTTGCAGCAATCACATATTTTTGAAATGTAACTAAATCTGCATGTGTGTAAAGTATTTAAGTAGCAGATACAACAGTTGTATTTTATGGTTGTTTTATAGTAGCTTCTGATATTTAAATATGTTACTTAAAAGAGGCAGTAGGAAAAAATCTAAATGCCTTGTCTTCCCCATGTAAACCATATGTTCCTATGTTGTCTAAACTCAGTAGATGGTTAACAATATAGAGACAGACATTTAGTAAGAACAAGTATCTTCTGTCTCTCAGTTATGATGCTAATAAATGAAAAATATTTTTGAAACCCTAAAGACATAAACTCCTTCATGTCAGGAACATGGGATTTTATGGCCCATGGAAACATTCTGGATTTAAAACAGACTTCTTTACAACTTTCATACTGTGGGAAGACATCAATGTATACACAAAACAGTTCTGCACTCTGCAGTAATGCCTTGTTGGCTTCAATAATGCATGCAGTCATACCAACATCTCCTAACAAAATAATGTAAAATAATAATCATCATTAATAAAACCCCAAAACAACAGACTGGAATCCCCATCAAGTCTGCTATTGCTCAAGAAGACACAGAATGATAGAAATAATCTCTTGAGGCACAAGGCTAAGTGCCACATCAAGATTTCTAACAGAAACCCTTCGCCCATTGTCGAGCTGAATAAATAATAGCACAAAGAAATGCTTGGATGAGGAGCCTTGCTCCGTTGTTTACCTCTGAACAGAATTAAGTTAGAAACAAGGTTTAAAAGCCTCAAGAAGAAAGGCACAGGTAAACACCGGTCAGGGTGTAGCTTGTGACTCGGGCGACTGATTTTATGAAAACCCTAATGAAAACAGACCTTGTTCCCGATAACAAGTGTGATAAACTGAACAGTGTTGAGCAGCTCGTCAGGAGAGTCCCGAAAGCCAAGAGTATTTTTACTGTGAAAAGACGAGCGTAGGATACCGCCGGTGTGTCTCGGGAATATACGGGTCACTGGGGTAGAGTCGCTCACTGTGACCCACCTTTCTGCAGGCTGGGAGCCCCCGAACCCGAGGTGTTCCTAGCGGCGGCATCCCCAAACCCGAGGCACCGAGGTGTCCCCGCCACTGGAACCTCTCAAGCCCGAGGTGCCGAGGTGTCTCCGCCGCCTGCCCGGGACCGGGGGTAGCCCGGGACAGGTGCGGGTCCCCGGCCCGGCGCTGGGCTCCGGCAGCCCGGAGAGCTCCGGAGAGCGGCGGCCGCCGGGCAGGACGCGGGGCCGTGGGGCGGTGCGATGGGGCGGTGCGGAGCGGCGGCAGCTGCCCGGGAAGGGCAGCCCCGGCAGGAGCGGGGCGGCAGCCCCCGCACCCGCCGCTCCGAAGTTTCCGCCGGCGCAGGGAGGGCGCCGGGGGCAGTGCGGGGCAGCCGAAGGGGCGGCGCCGCCGGGGGTACCGCGGTCCCCGCTCCGGCGGGGCGCCGTGCGCCCGCGGCTCCTACCTTCCAGCACCGAGCAGAGTTTGTGCAGGGCCATTGTCTCTGGCGGCGGCGGCGATCAGCGGCGCTCCATGGCCGCGGCGGTGCCCCCCGCGAGGGCGCTGTGCCCGCGGCTACGGCTCGGCCCCCGCCCGCCCGCGGCCATGCCCGGCGCCCCCGCGGGGCGCGCTCAGCCTCCGCCGCCCGAGCGCGGAGCCGCCGCCGCGCTCAGTCCCATCGAGAGCGGGGCGCGGCGGGCTCCGTCGAGGTTGGCCTGCCCCGGGGGGCTCCACGCGCGGCGCTCAGAGCGCAGCCCGCCAGCTCCCAGCCCGACTGAAGCGCCTGCTGCTAAATGAAGCTCATTTAAGATGTGAGGGGTGTTTGCCTGGATGAGCTGCTTGTACGCATGTGCCCGCCCCCGACGGAGCTCCGCAAGCAGCCACAGCCGCAGCCGGCGGGGCCGCTGTGCTCCTCCCGCTCGGCCGGGCACCGAGGCGGGAGCGACAGCGCCGGAGCAGCACCCATTCTCACCCCGTCCCCACGGGGAGCCGCGGCTGGCCCGGTTGCAGCGCCCCGCCTCGGTCCCGCACCTCGGCCCCCGCCGCGCCTCACGCCCCAGGCCCGTCCTGCCCCGTCTGCCGGGCTTTTCCCGTGTGCGGTGCTGGGTGCCCGGACAGCGGGCGGAGGCGAGCCGTGCGGCCCCTCTCCTGCGCACGGTGCCTCGGATAATCCTGAATCCCGGCTGCCCGGCTTTGTTTGGGATCTGAGCGGGTCCCGATGGGGTAAAAGGGACACGGTGCTTCCCTTGGTCTGCCGTGGCTCCCCTTCGCCCCCTCGCTGGTGGCAGGGAGCCCGCGCGGCTCCGGCAGTGCGGCGTGCCCAGCTGCCTGCCTGGCTGCAGTGTGCTGCCTGCAGCTCCGGCGCCGGGAAGAGCCCATCACACGCTATTGTGCGGCTGTTGTTTGACACGAGTGACAGCTAAAATGGAGCTATTACTTTACAAGAAGTTAATAAAAAGGCGCACTTAGCCTGCTGCCTGCCCTGGCTCCCGTCCCTCTGGTTATCCATCACATCGGGTTCCCTTTGTGAGGGGGAGATGTTACTTCGGGAAAGGGCCTGAGGTGGAGGCAGGTGGCGATGTCGGGGGAAGGGCAGGGAGGGAGAGGCGCCGCCAGCAGATCCCGCCGCGGGCACTCCCGTCCTGCCAGACCCCTCCGAGCTGCCCGGGGAGCTGCGTGAGGGCGAGAGCCGCGGCCGTGCCGGACAGCCGGGGCATGCTGTGCTGCCCGTAGGCTACGTGTAAAATGATAGCAACACGGCAGTCCCTCAGAGAGGCTTTCAAATCTCCCCTAAGCAACACGGGTTGAAGAATGGCTGGGCATTTCCTCCAGGATGTCTTCTCCCTGGATGTGCCGATTAGGCGAGGCTGAGATCTTCCGCTCAGGCTCCAGAAGTAGCGAAACGCGGAGATGTTCAGCCCTGCGCGTGTTGCAGAGCCGTGCGCGGGGGCCCGGAGCGGTCCGGCCGGAGCTGCCGTGCCCGCGGCGGTCCCGGCCCCGCTCCCAGGGCTGAGGCGGTCGCGGTCTCCATTCAGGTGCTGCGCAGCCATGCACGGCTGCACCTCCAGGTGCCCCACGCGCAACTCCGCTGTCCGAGCTCAGGCACTTTGTGGAAGCAACTTGGAACCAACCCACTCGCTAGACCCAACAGATTTTGCAAACTGTAATTTATATGCGTAATTGCCACTTGGGAGTCCGTCTGCTTAAGGAGTAGGGCAGCTCAAGTACAGTGTCTAACACGAGTGTGCGAAGTGAAGCCCTGATTTCCTTGTGGTTAGGCGCTGTGTATTTGAATGTTAAATTCTTTCTACAATGTTCAAAGGTCAGCCTATCCTGTTAGAAAAGGTCATTCTCTTGCTTCACATTATCTGTTAAATATTTCAGGTGCTTCAAGTCAGTGTGATTGTCAGCGAGGGCGAATTAAACGCAGAAGTGAGCGGAGAGCCGTGGGAGGGAGCGGGCCCGGGGCCCCCGGGACAGCAGCTCCTCTCAGACCCTCGGCGAGACCTCTCAGCAAAGGTCCTGAGCTTTTCTGGGTATTAAAGATCCATTTCAGTGTTGCAAGAAGCTTCATGAAGTATTAAGCTTGACGGTCTGGCGAAATCCCAAGTTACATAATTATATTATTCTACTTATTTGAATTGTCCTTTCAGTTTCAAATAGAGATGATACAGTCCTCTTCCAAGCGTAGTTTTTCCATGAATTGTGAAATTGCTGCTACATTCCAGCAGTGGACAAAGCGATTCCTCTGTTCCCCTCTTAATCCTGTATTTATAGCAGTGTGATGAAATGATAACTTCTATAGTGGAAACTCCTATACATAAAGAAGTCCCCAACAGGCGTATCTACTTCGCATTTTCTTTACTAACAAAATGCAATGCAATTTGCTAACAATGCAAGTAAATATCCAAGACTACTGTATCTGGCATCATTCACAATTTTTTATCCTCTCTGCAAGTACATAATTAAAATCTGACTGTGCTGTTGTGCAGATTGTTAGGAAACAGGGGGTTGCCTGCTTTTTTTTTTATTTTTTGGAATGCACTGTATAGCTAAAGGCAAAATTTGACTTGGATATTTTTATTACTTTTAATATAAGAAATGAGAACTGGCCTTATTCTTAGATCTTGGGCTGTATTTGCATTCAAGAGAACTATTTGTGGTCAGTTGTCTCTCCCCAAAGATACAAGAGAAAACACTTGTAATGCTGTCTGCTCAGTACAAGTTCGGTAGTAATTGCAAAGGCCCAATCCGCTACAGTCAATTTAACTGAAGAGCTCAACTTCTGGTTTGTCCATTAGACGGTTGATCAGAGCTATTACACACTTGGGGAAGTGAGTAGCTTTTCCATCCTGTTCCCTTTCCAGGGCTGTGTCAAGCTGTCAGTGTGGCAGAGGCAGGGAGTAGCATCAATTTGGAGATTTGGGACACATTTTGCCTCCATTTACTGCTGCTTTCAGAGACATTTGTCCTGTGGACATCCCCATTGCTTTGTTTTGCTGGAGTTCTTGTTACAGGCGGTGCCTTCACTAGTGACAGGTCTGAAGAAGTTTTCAGCTCTCCTCTTCTGAGCCTGCAGAGTTTCCAGGCAGGAAAACTCTCTGCCACTGGGCCACACCGGCTGTAAGCTTCACTTAATTAAACTTCAGTTTGGGAGTCAAGAAAGGTTGAAGACAGCTTTTGGACAGCCAGCTGTGTATTGTTCTGCTGCTCTATCCTCATGATTATTTTTGAGTAGCAGTAGTTCAGGGAAGGCAGTGGGACTCACTCTGATCTAGGTAAACACCTGCATGAGCAGCTGAGGAGTGAGTCAGTCACAACAGTGCTCTGCTGCAGCTAAAGGCTTACATTTGTATTATTAGAACTGGGTTTGCCTCCTCCTTAAAGCTTCATTTGATTTGCTGTTCTCTAAGAAGTTTTAAATATAATTTACCTAAAATATTTTCTGCTCTTGACTAGCAAAGTGTACAACCCAAACAGCCTTAGACCAGCAGCTATTTGGACATTGTTTTTAAAAGAAGTTGCAAAAATATAGATGTCAACAATGAATAATTATGAAAAGAGATGAGGAGTTATGTTTTAACTGTTCTGGTACTTGGTTTTGTCAGTACAATTTAGGTGCCTTTGTTAAATCCTAATTTCATTATATAATGTTTATAATTAGAAAATTATTGAAGGTGCAAGTGCCTCAGTATTGTCTTACAATACAATTGTAATTGTATAACAATATGCAATACATAATCATACATAAATATGCACAGTTGGCTTTGTTATTTTCTACTGAGTAATGAATGCTGCAAACTTTTGAATAGTCAGGAAGAAAACTCATAGCCTTCAGAAAGCTTACAGTGCATTTCTCTATTTGGTGGGTAATATAATTAGATCTGACTCTTAGAATATACCTACAGACTTTTTTGGCTTAGGTTGGAAAATTCATTAATTTCAAAATTAGGTTATAATTGTTATGGATTGTATCATAGATGGGATCACATTTTTCACTAAAGTCAGGAATTAATTATAAAAATAGTGCTGTGTGGCTGATTATTTTCAAATTGACAATATTATCAATGCTCAACACCTAGATCCTGTTCCCAGAATGGATAGTAGGGTTACTAGAGCAGCAGAGCAATGTCAGATTTAACTCCTCTACTGCTCTTGATTTCTTAACTTACTTCTTTGAACAAAACATTTGCCCATTGCTATAGAATTGCTACTACATATTTGCAAAGTATGAGATTATTTTAAGCATAACTGTATTTTCTAAATTTAAAAAATAATTATTAAAATATTTATTAATACCTTTAAAACAGAGACAGTTAATGCTTTTACACTGTTGATTATAATACAGCAGAAGCTTATGGATTGACTTCTGCTCTATTTTGGTGTCATTAATTTGAAAGAAGTTATATAAATCAATTACAATCCATTGATACCTGTTCAATATCAAATATTGGCACAGGGATAAATAGGTCAAGAGCAAACCTGCAGAGAAGGACCTGGGGAGGCAGTAAGGAAGGGAGGATTCTGCCCCTCTGCCCCACCTGCAGAGCTGCCCCAGCCTGGCCAGCACAGGAGGGGCCTGGAGCTGCTGAGAGAGCCCAGAGGAGGCACAGGAGGAGCAGAGGATGGAGCAGCTCTGCTGGGAAGAAAGGCTGGCACAGCTGGGATTGTTCACCTGGAGAGGAGAAGCTTTGGGGTGAGCTCAGTGTGGCCTTGCAGTGCTTGGAAGGAGCCTACAAAGAAAAGGGAGAGAGACAATGCACCAGGGATGGAGGGACAGGACACGGGGGAATGGCTTCACACTGCCAGGGAGGAGCTTTAGATTAGGTGGTAGGAATAAATTCTTCCCTGGGAGGGTGATGAGTCCTGGGCACAGGTTCCCCAGAGAAGCTGTGGCTGCCCCATCCCTGAAAGTGTTCAAGGCCAGGTTGGATGGGGCTTGGAGCAACCTGGGGTAGTGGAAGGTGTCCCTGCCCATAGCAGGGGCGTTGGAATTGGATGATCTTTAAAATCTTTTCCAAACCAAACCATTCTGTGATTCTATAGAAGCCCTGAATTGACAAACTTGGTGTGTTTGTAGTGATTACTTCTCCATTAACTGTAGCAAGTGTTTTCAATGTCTCTGTCTGTTAAGCACGATGGCCTCAGCACAGGAGGAATATCATACTATGTAGAATATGCCTATTAATCTGCAGCAGAAAAGTTGGTTCTTTTGTTGGGGGATTATAGTGCATTAATGATAAATCTGGTAGGAAGATTCAGTCTTAAAGCTTCTCA